CCAAGGAGTAATTTGAAAATCTTGATTTCGAATCACTGAATTTGGTCTTATCCCATTAGGACCATCTAATCTTAATAATATCTGTTAATTACAAATTATTTAAAATGGTACTGATGAAGTTTATTGGCATTAATAGATCATGATCGGAGCCTACAGGCTAAGGAAGGTTCGGAATCTGTAGGAAGTGCAATGCTCCCCGGGACTAATTTTCATGACGATGACACTAATATGTGATATGGCTGATAGTTCCGTACTACCGGTCTGGGTCTGTTCACGCGAGAAACGGTTGTGGTCATAGTTAACACTTTCTCTAATCATAACTCAATTTATGGATGATCATTACTGTATAAAAGCCTTAAATATATAAAATATTTCTTACTTATATAGCAAATATGTTAAGACCCCAAGTCTTATAATAAACAAATAATCAAAAGTTTTTTTTTTTTAAGGAACGTGAAAAAATCAAACGTAGTAACTCCACGAATGACGTCATCATTTGTTCCCCTTACTATGGACTGCGTATATAAGCCTGCGACGAGCCTAGTCAGCTGTCAGTCGTCCATCTCGGATTCCTCAAGACGAATATTCATCATGAAGGTTATGGTAAGATCTCGCTGTGACAAAAGTTATGTATTTCCAATAAGGATAGGACAGTAAGCTATAGTACATTTATGGTGCGACTTCCATGGGAGAATAGATTTCATGCATTTGATACATTGTTTAACATCGTAACAGCTGGTTCTCGCTCTGGTGGCCTGTGCTGCTGCCATGCCCTCTCCTCACCCCGGCTTCGTCTACTCCTACGGCCATCCATACGTCCACTCCTCCTACCCCGTCGTCAACTCTGCCAAGGCACATACCCCTGCCAGCACCGTGCCCCTCGTCTACCCCTACGGTCAGTCTCATACTGAAAACATTTTCTCTTTCAAATGTATCTCTACATTTTGACAAAATTGTTCTATTGAAAGCGATATCATAATGCCATCAAATATTCGTAATTCAGAATTCTTTATTATACATATCGTGCTAAATATTCCTCCTCCAACAGGTCAAAATCTCCCCCAAACCTACACCTACACCCACACCTTCCCCAACACCTTCCCCTACAGCTTCCCTTACACTTACCCCTTCATGGTCAAGGCCGACGAGGCCGTCGAGGAGGAACCTATGGCTGAGGAGGAAGCTGCAGGCATGCTTATGGGTGAGGAGGAGCTAATACATCTTTCAAATGTATCTTTACATTTTGACAAAATTTAGAATATTCCTTATTCTGTTCAAAGTGATATGAAAATGCCATCAAATATTCGTAATTCAGAATTCTTTATTATACATATCGTGCTAAATATTCCTCCTCCAACAGGTCACAATCTCCCCAAACCTACTACCCCCACACTTTCCCCACACCTTCCCCAACACCTTCCCCAACACCTTCCCCTACAGCTTCCCTTACACTTACCCCTTCATGGTCAAGGTCGACGAGGCCGTCGAGAGGAACCTATGGCTGAGGAGGAAGTTGCAGGCATGGAAGAGCTAATGGCTAAGGAGCTGATGGCTGAGGAGCTAATGGCTAAGGAGCTGATGGCTGAGGAGGAGCTAATGGCTGAGGAGGAACTTATGACTGAGGAGGAACCTATGACTGAGGAAAAAGCTGCATCCGATGAGGAACCAGTGGCTAAGGAGGAACTATGGCTGAGAAAAGGCGGTAGCAGAGGACAAACCCGTCGCTGAGAATAGGACGACACTCTCAGCATCCTTCCTCACTGGGACTGGGAGGAGGAATCGCGAGTCCTCGTAGCCTCGTCTAGCGAGGAGTTCGAAGGACTCGTTGAGCCTCAGCTTCCCTTCAAACGAGATCTCTAGGCTGCCCTTCGTTGCAACAGAAAATTGCTGATGAAAATTCTTATCACCAAAACTGAACTTTCTCTGGGATTGTTATACAGGTTATTGGTCTACCAAAAATAAAGTACAAATCCTACTGCTTAATTCACTTAACCTTTCTTTTTCTTAACTTTCTGAAATGAGTATTAGGTAAACAGAGTAAATTTATCTCTTATTTATTTACCTATCAGCATTTCCGCATCTGTATTTATACAATGTGTTTATTGTTGTAATCGATGTATATACAGATATCTATCGAGCCAGATGATGCATACATTATTCATATATGTGTATATATATGTATATATACGTACATATATATTTATATATATATATATATATATATGATATATATGTATATATACGAGTACATGCATACACATATATGCTTTCTTTCTTTGACTCTTCTTTTATGCGGAAATGAATAACAAGTGATTTGATGCCATTATCTTCATACAGATTCGATTGACGATTTTGGGATTTGAGTTCATAATTTCAATTCACAAAGTCTATTTTAGTCACTTTCCTGCACATGGGTAACAGTTGAGTATGATTTTAAGCATACTGAAGATCAAATCAAATTTTGATTATTTATAATAGTTTTAGACACTCTTCAAGTCAG